AATTTTTTTTTTATTTTTTATCTAAAATAAAAATAAAAATAAAAAAATACAAAGAGCACAAAGTGAAATAACTAAGGGGAATTTACATACATAGCACTCCATTATGTATTTACTTGTCTCACTCGCAAACTTTGATTTTTACATCGAAAGCACCTTATACGTGAAAAAAGTGTAATTCGCCTTTTCATACATATTTTTCAAACATAGGAAAAGGTGCTTAGCTCGAAAAAATTAAAGTTTGGGTGTGAGATAAGTAAATGTATAAGAATTAGGTGTTATGTATGTAAATTTCCGAATAAATAAACATATTGTTAAGTTTCATTTGATACGACTTGTGCCCAACCTAAATGAGTGGTGAGTAATGCATTACAAAGAATGCATTTTCTTCCTAAAGGAGAAAGCATTTGTAGACATGAACTATTGAAGATAGCTTTCGTGGTGAAAATAAGATGGGTTTTGAGGACTCGTGATCATAATCAATAAGTGATTGATGCTCTGTTCATAATTATAATCGAGGGATGATTGCTCGTCTATTCGGCCATTTTCTACATATTATAAGAGGCCAAGAACTAAAAGTTTAGTTCACAATCATATTGGTAAGGGTAGGCATCACGATCATTAGGGGCAATAAACATGTTTTTGTTTTGACAATTTTGAGAGTTAGCTTGAAAGTGATGACATCAATCATTAATAATGATGGTGATGACTGGTATCAATCTTATTAGAGATAATGGGTGTCACCCATATCAATAACATCACATATTTGTCCTGTTTGCATCATTGGGCTTTGGCTTTATTACATCATCAAGTATTATTCATGTTAGTGAAGAACCAGAAGAGCAAGTAGAAAAACTGGGAAAATTGAAAATAGCTAAAAGAAAGATAGGTGGAGTTTATTAATCCATTAATCATGCATACATATGAGAAAACCATGACTTATTTATAAGCATAGAAAATGGCATACGTGTAAATAAGTCAGGGTTAAACAATCAGTTTATAGGTATGAGATATTATTATAACAGACATGCATTTCGGTCAAGAATCCCTAGCAATGGGTGAGGAGAGAGGCTAGAAGACGGAAGGGGCGAGTGCAAGGCTTCAAGCTGCAGGAGTCTGCCGATCTCAGAAGAAAACAGATAAGTGGACATGCATTTGAGCCAAGAATCCCTAGCAATGGATGAGGAGAGCGGTTGGAAGATGAAAGAGGTGAGTGCAAGGCTTTGAGCTGCAGGAGTCTGCCTATCTCAAAAGAAAACATATAAGTCTCCCCTTTGAAATTTGTTTGCATTAAAAACAACTTGGCAATTACTATCTTTGGTGAGTTGATGTACTGAAACAATATCATGTGATATCTTAGGTGCATGAAAAAAAGGTGAAAGAATTAACGTACTGTTTTTTATGGTGGGTAGAAGTCTGTTACCAACATCTTTGGTACATGTGTTTTGGTCATTTACAGGCGTCACTTAGTTAAAATCTTGATATGGGACTGGTTATTATAGATTTGTGATGTGAAGAGTAAGATGTGTTATTGCACCAGAGTCCAACACCCATTCTGGTGGTTGGATTTGAGTGTTGAGCACTGTGGTGGAAGCAGTGGGTGGTGGTTTATACTTCAAATTAGTCATGTGCCAACATTGAAGTGTCGACTGGCCTTTTTTTTAGCAGATTTGGAAAATAACAGTTCATCTAAATTTTAATTGGTTATTGTTGGCAGTGTTCTTCGTGTTGGAGAAGTTCTTGCTTGAGCTACTTGAGGTTTGATTGCCCCCCTTTATTTTTGTACGAAAGCAGTGCAGTATGTTATGTGTTCTTGATAGCTTCATTGGCAAGGTTGAACTCTTCATTGGGAAGATGAGAGTAGAAGTCTTCCAACTTGATTGGGTTGATAGAGGTGTGAAGGGTTGTTTTGAAGCCTTGAAAACTAGGTGGCGCCCTGTTAAGGGTGTAAAGAATAATATATTCTATGTCAGCATTCGATTTTTTCATGACTATGTTGTCCAAAAGGTTTTTGATAACCGTGAGATATTATGTCATATTGGTGGTTCTAATCGTAACATTATGAAGTTCATTCTTAAGTGGAATGACCCTTGATCGGTTAGTAGATTAACATTTTTTTGGTTAGAGTGTCCCATTTAGGCAGTGGTGTTGAGGTAAAGGGAATAATTGAGGGGGAAATTGTAGATAGGATGGTTGCAGCTTGGTTTTTCTCTATCAGGTGCTAGAGAAGGTAAACTGGGTTTTCTTATTAGGTGTTGTTTTTGTTATCTATGAATTTTTGTAGGTGAGGGTTTTTGCTATCAAGAAAGGAGTCATATTCATTTGCAGTGAGAAGTTTAGAAACTTGTACCTTCCATACAAGATAATTTTCCTGACTTAAGGAAGCAGTAACCACGTTCTTGCCCTGAGACATCAAGAATTTGAGAGAGATTTAGATGTTTACTTCTTTGATTTTTTTGAAGATAGTTATGGCCTATTGTTGTTTTTGTGTGGCGGTAGATGCATGAGAATCCATCCTTGTGAAAGGTGATTTTGCTGTGATACCAAGTGAAGAAACAAAAGACAAAGTAGAAGAGCAGAGAAAATAGAGAATAGCTAAAAGAAAAATAAGTTGAGTTTATTAACTCATTAATCTTACATACATATGAGAAAACCATGACTTGTCTATAAGCATAGAAAATGACAAACTTGGAAATAAGTCAGAGTTAAACCAGCCAATTTATAGGTTAGTGATATTAATATAAAAAACATGCAGTTCAGTTGAGAATCCCTAGCACTAGATGAGGGGAACGGCTGGGAGACAGAGGAGGCGAGTGTACGGCTTCAAGTGGCATGAGTTTGCCGATCTCAGTAGAAAACATCTTAAGTATCCTTTTAAAAACAAGTGTACATGTGTGTGTCTAAATGCTAGCTTTATTGTAATGAAAAGTATCAACACTGGTGATGATGACAATCATTCAATTTTGATGTTGTTAATGAACGCCAGTTTTTGTGATGATAGTAAGCTTTAAGATTAGTAGCAATAATAAAAATTGTTATTTAATTACAATGGTTGTTGACCCAAGTATCGATGATAAGTGTCAATCTTAGATGTGACAGTCAGTGTCAATTTTGTTAGCAAAAGTAAGCAATATTAATGCTAATGACAATCAATTTTAGTGGCAATAAAGTGCTTTAAGCATTGGTGATGATGATAGCCATTAGCATTAGTCATGATGAAAAGCATAAAAAATTTTAGGATATTCAGTTTATATGATGTTGCGATAATTGATAATTGGTGTTAATATTGTTGGCCATTGAAGATATTTTATTGGCAATAGTAAGCAGAAGAATATTATTAGGAGTGGTTGGTGTTGATGTCATTGGTTATGGAAAACGTCAAATTTATTAGTTACAATGATATATAGTGTAGTGTGGACAATATGTAAGATATTTATTGTCAATAGCAGCCCTCAATATTTTTTATAATGATTAATCTAATGATTGATTATATAATTATTATAGATGATCTGCATTAGCTTGGTTGGGAACATTCATCAACACTCTAATTGATAATGATGATCATCGACGTTTGAGATAGTACGTGATCTTAACTAAGACAATGTGCATCAATGGGCATTAATCCTGGGGGCAATAGTGGACTTCAGTTCTATTGGCTACTACACTGGAGGTGTTAGTGGACTTCAATTTCATTGGTCACAATGAGCATTTATCTTATTGCCGACAATGAGCATCAATGTTGTGAATGAATACAAGTGTTATTCTTATTAGCATGACAGTTGTAAGCCTAGAGAGATAGAACTATAGTAATATCTAATTTCTAGCACTCTAATTTAGAATCCCCTCAAGGCATCCTCAACTTCGTAGATGCAAGACAAATGGATGAATTTAATAAAATCATTATTTTATTTATTTCAACCAAAAAGGACAATTTATCGGATGGTGAAGATTATTCACGCTTAATTATGTAGTATTTTTTAGATTAATTAGTATCTTAATGTTATCAAAAATTGAACAAGTTTTAGCTTTTCAAATTTATCACATTATGATGTTGTTTTTTGCAATTGTAAGCAAACTTTGAAGATTTTTTTATTCTTCCAATGGCTTTGATGCTTGATTTAGACAAATATCGACTCAAATTATATTGTTTTTTTTCTTTTTTGTTGTCATTGAAATTACCTCTGTTAGATTGGTTAATGAAAAATTATGTGTGTGTATGTGTGTATTCCTTATTTGGCTGAGGGTAAATTAAATTTTTTTTTAAGGTTGTGATATGAATTTCAATGATGACTGGTATTTTTCTTATCGTTTCAGAAAATTTAATAGTCTATAATTTTTATTGAAATCAACATTTAATTTAATTTTATAAATAAAATAAATTTTCTCCATCTAATTACTAATAATAAACTCATCCTTAATATATAAAAATGAGCTATAGTACAATTTTCATTTTAAATTTATTTAAATTGAGGCTGGAGAACAATTACAAGGAAAATGCAACCACCTCAATTTATTAGTTGGGAGCATAGACTTTCAACCATGAAGTCTAAAGTTTGAGATCAAAATATACGCTCTATATCTACATGAGTTTGTCATTAAGTTCACTCAAAATCTCAAAAATAAAAAATAAAAAGGCGAAAAAGAAAACAAGCAGATGTGATCATGGTCAAGTGGTTGAGCATTTTCTCCGACACTAAGAGGTCCTAACGTGTGAGGTGATGAAGAGTAGAAAGATGATTGAAGGATAGAGAACAATCTAGTTTCTACATCAAAAATAAAAATTAAATATAAGTTGAATATGCCCATTTCAAATCTTGATTCAGTAAATAATGCACACTTCCTTGAAAATAATAATAATAATAATAAACAAATTATGATTACAAACCAAAATGCACGTTGAGAGCAGAAACCGCTCGCATATCTTTTGAATCTCAAAAGAAGTGGAAATTAAAAATATATATATTTGCTTAAAGGCTACTTCCTAATTTGAATTCTTTCATCTTTTATAAAATAAGGAACCAATGAAAAGGAAGTTTAGCCAATGCTTCAATTTCTGCGGAAGCTCAAACTCCTTCCACCAAAACCCACTCTTCATCTTCACAACAACCACCACCACCACCACCACCATCTACCTGACAAATAAGCTCTTCTCTGTCGTCCAATCCCACTCCGCCATCTGAATCATAATTCACCTCACCCGTCTCTTCAGACCTTCTGCGATCTCCCTTCAAATAAAAATCAGAAATCTCATCTTTGTGCCTATGATTTCCTTTGATTTTGGCCATGGCTTTATTCACCGGATGAGCGTGACAGAGTCCACACCTCGGCAACTTACAACGACCGGTGAACTTGGACTTGTTGGTAGGCTTTGAAGGGGCTTTCGTAAATTGGCCCATGAACGATCCTTCAATTCGCTTCAGCGATTTCTTTATTGTTCTTTCGGTGCTGTTTGAAAGAGAGGAAGAGAGATCAGAGTAGACTGAGACAATACCATGTTGACGGCCCTCTCTTCTCATACTTTCAAGGGTTTGATTTGTCTGGATAGTCAGATTGTTTCCAATGGCTTTAAATAAACTTTTGTTTTCTTGAAGGGCAAGAAATAGTTTTTGCTCATAATTATTTTATTTAATTTTATATGTTGGCCTTAATTGACCAATTAAACTCATTTTTTTTAATGGGAATGGTTATATAAAAAAAATGGAACCATTTTTGTCGTTAGGGGTGAAGTGTAAATAATTATTTATAAATAATTTATATTTGATTCTCGAATTAAATGGCTCCGGCTGTCTCCTCGCCGTTGGTTAAATTTTTCTGAAAATATCTTATTGTACGTTGTAAATTTTCTCACTTAAAGGTACGAGGTAAGTGTAAATATTAAATTTTATGTGTTGATATATATATATATATATATATATATATAGTAAAAATATATTTCTTATGAAAAAAAATTTTTAGTTAACAAATAAAAATAAAATACTATTAAGCATGCTGTTTTAAGTTTCATTTGACATGGCTTATATTTTTTTAATTGTCATTTTTTTTTCTATTTAAATAATAGAAAAAATGTTGTCCAATATTTCATAGTATTGGTAGCTAGAATATAAGTGAGATTAGATTAAATCCTTCATCTTAGCATTGGAAAAACAAAATTACAAAATAAAAATAAAAAAACCTCTGTTTGGCACAGCACAACTAAAATGAGACCCTTAGGGTTTGTAACAAATAACAAAGAATGCACGTTCTTATAAACGAAAAAAGTATTCATGTTGACACATCTTCTACCTGCTTAGGGATTATTTCTCATTCATGTTGACACCTCATTTGAGCCCTATCAATTCCCTTGAAAAATAATTGATGTCGTCTCGTGGGCCTCGCATGTCTAGGTGTCGCAGCCCGTAGTGGATATGGTAATTCATCATCTGCTCTATAGCCCAGTACAGACGTTAAAAATATAAGGAATCTTCCACTCTAGATGATTGAAATCATTTGGTTTCCCAAAAAAATAACCGGATGTCATAAATTTCATAAACAAGACCATTTTTATTAAAAACATTCTTGAGCATTCACAAGATATAATTAACCAAAAGACAAGTTTCTTTTGGAGTACTCTTGAACTAAAAACAAGCACAAAAACTTGAATATCTGGTTGTTGGTTGTTTTTATAGGATTTTCTATGCGGATATGTTTTCAAGACATCTTCGTTCCAATCTCGTTTCAGATGTACGCTATTGGGCTATCACACAAAGTTTATCTTATGAAAGTTTTCCATGTTTTTTTTTTTTTTTTTTTTTGTTTTTTTTTTTTTATTTTTTTTTTTTTTTTTTGTCTATTTTTGTTGTATTTTTTCTTTCTAGTTCCTCTCAAAAGAGATACTTATTTGGAAAGAGAGTTACAGAACGACGATAAAACAATCTGATGACTCCAAAAACTCACTAAAAAGAATGAAGACAGCATTCATAATATATGAATATTTATTTTGATCACATGCACATTTATTCTACTATGAAATTTGTATACCAGTACTTAATGTTCCCTCTAAAAAAGCCCTTTGCCACAGTCCGATGCACCCTTGAGTTCATAACTCTATCGTAAGTTTCGACATTCAAGCTCCCTCCAGCCCTTTGGGTGATGACTATGAAGAGTATTGGGCTTTGACCGCTGCTTCTATTCTCACAAAAGCTGGTGGACTTAGAAAAAACCATTAAAGGAGCTCATGATTGGCCCAGACGCTTAGAACCGTGGCTAGTTCTAACAAAAGATTGGATTCCGATGAAAATTCACCTTCTACACAGTTCTTAAATAGATTTTGATTCCTATTTATATTGAAATCAAACATATTGCTTTGTTTGTTCGAAGGAATTGAGAGAGAGAGAATAATAAGTGAACTCAATTGAAGTTAAACTATTATTTGTTTGAGAGGAAATTGAGTTTTCATGTTTTATTTGACCAAGGGGAAATTAATATTTGTTTATTTATGTGTGGGTGATATGAATTTCAATGATTGAGATCAAATTTATCCATAAATTATATTGAAATAAACTATTTTGTATAATATTACAAATAAAATAAATTTTCCCTTTCTAATTACTAAATTTTAACTTATCCTCAATATATAAAAATAAAGAAAATGTCGTTTTTCCTTTTAAATTCATTTAAACAGAGGCTGGTGAGCAATAAAATAAGGTCGACGCAACCATCTTAATTTATTTGTTGGGAACATATACTTTCAACCAAGAAATCTTCTATTTGAGGGCAAGCATATGTGATCTATCTACACGAGTCTTGAGTTTGAGGCCAAGCATATGTGTTGTATGAGTTTGCCATTAAGTTCCCAAAAAACAAAGAAGAAAACAAAATGGATGAGGCGGTAGGAGGTAATAGGAAGGAGACAGATGATTAAAGGATGAGGAACAAATAAGGTTCTAAATCAAAACTAAAATTAAAATATAGTTTCATATGCCCAACAATCTCTGGTTCAGTAAAAAATAAGGTTCTAAATCAAAACTAAAAGTTTCATATGCCCAACAATCTCTGGTTCAGTAAAATAATGAGCATTTCGTTAAAAAGAAAAAAAAAATTCTAAATTTACAAACCAATCATACTTCCATTCAAAGTCATCCCCAAAAAAACAAGAAAACCAAACTAAAATATTAGAAAAAGAAAAATTATTCTTGACCGCTTCTATTTAACAAACAAAATATGTAAATTCAATACACAAGTCTCCAAACGAGGATCAGCTCAATGATTTAACTTTCATGGAAGCTCAAACTCCATCCACTAAAACCCATCCTTCATCTTCGTGATCACCACCACCGCCTACTTGACAAATATGCTCTTCTCCATCGTCCGATCCAGCTCCGTCATCAGAATCATAATTTACCTCTCCTACATCTTCGGACCTATTGTGATCTCCCTTCAAATAAAAGTCAGAGATCTCTTCTTTGTGTCTGTGATTTCCTTTAGTTTTGGCCATGGCTTTATTCACTGGATGGGCGTGACAGTTTCCGCACCTGGGCACTCTGCACCGGCTGGTGTACTTGGACTTGTTAGTGGGCTTTGAAGGGGCCTTCGTAAATTGACCCATGAATGATCCTTCAATTCGATTTAGCGACTTCCTTATTGCTCTTTCAATACCGTCTGAACCTGAGGATGAGAGATCAAATTGGACTGAGACAATACCATGCTGGCGGCCCTCTCTTCTCATACTTCTAAGTTTGAGTGTTTGATTTGTTTGAATTGTGTGGTTGTTTCCAATGGCTTTAAATAAACTTTTTGTTTGCTTGAAATGAAAGAAATAGTGATCAGTTCATTAATTTTTTTTTTTTGGTTTTATATGCTTCCCTTAGTTTGCTTCCCTTAGTTTATCAATTATATTCTATTTTTTTAATGGTCAAAGCGTGTGGAGTGGCCAAACGGGAAGAGTCATTGTGGAGAACAGCAGTATTTTGAAAGGGTTATGATACGAAGGGATTAAGACTTTGTGTTTTAAGGGTGTAAAATGAATCATTATTTATAAGTTATTACATTTGATTCGATAATCATTTGGCTTCGTCTCGCTGCACCACCTAAAAAATTAAGAAAAAATCGCATTGGATTTTTTTGAATTTTTCTCAAGTGAAAATATGAAATAAAATTCACATTTAGATGTTGCTTTTATTACAATAAAAATTTTATAAATGAAAAGAACACGTAACAAGAATAAGTCTTTATTTCAGTAAGTGGAGATAAAAATCACACAAATAAAATAAAATAAGTAATAAATTATACATATCATAAAATTTTATTTGATGTAACATATACATATTTGATAAGATCAACAATTTTTCATCATACGGCATGGATCTCGAGGCATTGCATGTATACCAAGATAATTATTTTTTCAGTGAAAGTTCAAATTCAATTAAAACTCATCCAAAACTTCAATTTCAGTAAACTTGCAATGAAGCTGGTTAGCTTACCGAGACGGACTCAATGACACCATAATTAATCCAATTAGAGTCGGATCAACCCCGAATCAAGCTATTAAACTTCTTTTTAAAACTTTGGGTGGTTAATTGAAAAATGAAACATATTCCAAATCCGATAAGCTTATAGTTAAAACGAGCATCTTAACAATACGAAACCAACGAGCCCAAGATCAATAAATTCCAACATTGTTAAGGTACTCAAATATTCACAAAAATCAAGTTGTTATATCCCTTTCTTATTTGCGAGGAGGACCTAGACTGTGAACCAAGAGATGGCTAGAACTCAGAGGAGAAGGATCTGAGATCCAGTGTTCAACACTAAAAGTCCAGCAAACACCATCTGCTCCTGTAGCTATTGACCACCATCGATCGTCGCTCCCCAACTGCTATTGACCAACATATGTTGTGTCTGCTTGGTGCAACGAAGCCTCTTAAGGATTCATGATGAATGTTGCAAAGTAACAATGCATCATACAAAGTAATGACCAGCCTTTTGAAGTAACGAAGCATCATATGGAGCAATGTATCCTGAAGATGATGTAACAATACACCCAAAGATGGTGTAATAATGCCCCAAATATGGTGCAAAATTTATCCAATGGACGGTGTAACAATGCACCCTTAATTATGTGCAACGACACATCTCACATATAGTGCAACAATGCCTCCCGAAAATGTTGTAACAATGCACCCCACAATAACTGCTTACAATCATCGTACATAGAATGCAGAGACTTTTTTCGAACTCCTAAAGCTCTCTCATTGTTGTCTACCAATATGTCTACCAATATGACATACATGACCAACTATGACATATGTGATCCACAGCTCATGAAGCTCCTTAATATGTCCCATGTGGCTTATGGACGTTATCACATCTCATGTAGCTTCTCAACTCTAGCCTCTATGATGGCCTGCATGCATTATCACAGTTCATGTTGCTCGAAACTCTAGCTTCTATAGCCCGAAGATTTTGTCACAAGTCATGTAATTCTCAAATCCTGCCTCAACGGCCTACGGACGTTGTCACGGCTCTTACAATTCATAACTCCAACA